TCTAAGGTGACTGGCCCACTGCATTAAAATCGCCAACAATTATAACGATATCCGACTTGTTCACTTTAATCAAAAGAAGATGAAAATCACGGTAAAAATCGTCCATGACAGAATCTCGGTTGCAGTCATTTGTGGTGTATTCGGAAATGACAAGCAGGCTACGTGTTTCTTTGCGGTGCTTGTCGACACGTAATGGCTGGGCCACACGTTGCGCATGCCAACACACCGACCCCCTCGATCTGTGTTGTTTGTGCGCCTGGGGTGCGGTTGGAAGAGGGCGAGGGGAGACCAAGCGATGACTTGGTCGAGAACAATGAGGTCCTTCACTTTGATGTTGGCACGGGTTGGTGCATCCCGACTACCTGGTTGGGGTCCCAAAATGATGAACACGCGTGGTTGGACACACTTGCTGATATAGCGAAGAGCCGGCACCAGTGACATTTGTGTTATGAGTTTCTTTGTCCATCCCTCTCACCTTTAGATTCCCCTCTGATTAAGATCTCATGCGACGTGCATAACCTATTTATTAGTATATTACTTACTTTTTGTATTCATTGTAGTGTAAATTTTTAGTAACTTATCTTTTTCTATTGCGGCACATTATTTGTGGTGTTTCTCACCCTCAGCTATCGTGTATTGCTGTTGATGACAACCTGATCTCTGAAGCCGGACTGCACATAGCTGACCAGTCGAGCAACGCAGCTTCGCCTTCCTAATTTGTGCTACCCCAACGCCAGTCGAATCTACTGTAGTTGCTTCTGCGTCACTGAATAGACGCAGGTCGTAGGTGCTTTCGCGATCAGAAGTAGACCTCAGCCTGAGTACACTGCTGAGATCCAGCAACCAGGTTCCGGTAACGCAGCAGACGTCAATAGCGAGGCTCCGTTTATTATTGAATGGTTGTGGCGGAGCTGTACAACCGTCTATGAAGTCTCCGTTTTGCATTTCAGCTCTGTTACGACCCACGTACGTATTATACCCGGAGGTCCACGGAATCCTCGACTGGACACATATTACAGGGGTCCGGAAAACGTTAGCGATGGTTGATTTCAAGCGGGATCAGGATTTCGAAGTCTTGGAACATTCTGATAATCTTGCAGGTAATCTTGTGTCACAGGATATTACACAACCTTAGCTACTGCAGCTGAAAAGTTGGAGTACATACCACCAGACCAACAGACTGACGTACGTTTATGTTTTTTCTGTTGTATTTAATTCCGTGGGTTTATTTTTGGGTCTAACCTGTGTTTCTTCGGCTTTTGCTATTATTTACCTTTATGATTTTTATTGTTTGATAGCTCTAACCTTGAGAAGTTGCTAAAATCGTGTTGCGTCCTCATTTCTCCCCATCAATAAGTTGTCCATCCTGATGAAACAAGGCTGGAAGAGGACGAAGGGAGAACAAAAATTGACTTGGTCAAGTGGATTAAGGTCCTTCACTTTGGAGTTGGCGTCAGTTGGTGCATGCCGGCCCGTAGCCTAAAGGTAGCGAGCTCGTCTTGCAATCTGACGGCGCGGGTTCGAGCCTGCGTAGGGACAGGGCGACCTTCGCAGTATCCTTAGCCCGCGTGCGACCGGTGGTGGTTGCACGGCAGCAAAGCGTCGGTATGCAGTACCGACTTACTGCTGATGCCTTTGGTGCATCTCGACTGCCTGAATGGGGTGCCAAGGACGATGAACACGTTTGGTTGGATTTACTAGCTGACAAGATAAAAAGTCTAACTCAGTGGCCTTTGTGTTGTTAGTCTCTTTGTCCTCTCTCTCCGTGACTGTCAACTGTCGTGTCCATCGTCAAGAAGGTTCAGCGTACTTTGTGAAGAAATTATCGAGGTATTAGCTTTCTTTCCGTTGCATCCAAACTTCTTATTGGTATCATTCTCCCAAGAGTTGCCGGTCCCAGTGAGAATCGGATCACTGAAAGCCAGGCTGGCTTCCGCATTGGTCTTGCTTGTATTGATCACATATTTACTCCGTCAAGTTTTGGTGCAGAGACACATATCACATTCGACCACCGGTGCCTTCGCAATTTAGCTCACATCTGGTGGGTACACCGCGTGAGCAACGAGCGTGTTCGACGCCTTGTTTACGGCACAGGAAAAGGACATGAACCGCTCAACACCGTTATTTCACACACCAGGCTCCGATGGCTCGGCCACGTGTTACGCATGCCAGCCCACCGACTCCCGCGACGTGCGTTGTTTGCGTGCCGAGGGTGTGGATGGAAGAAGAGGAGTAGTGGCCAAGCGATGACTTGGTCGACGGGAATGAAGGCCCTCACTTCGAAGCTGGTTTCGGTTGGAGCGTCTCGGCTCCCTGGTTGGGGTCCGAAAGACGATGAACACGTTTGGCTGGATACACTTGCTGACATGGCAAGGAGCCGACCTCAGTGGCGTTCGTGCTTTGAGTTTCTTTGTCCCACCCCATCCCTCTTAGCCTTCCTCTTCAACCAGGATCTCACTATTTAGCCTTATATAACTTTACATAGTAATTTTTTTGATGCACAGTAGCCGGCTGTTAGCTTACCGAAACGATGCCCATCCGTTACCGGTAGCTCAGCCGGCTTGCACCAGTTGCATTTTTTCCTCCTTTTTTCTATATATTGCGGTACAGTAGCCGAGGTGTTTCTCACCTCTAGCTAACGTGTATGATGATGATGTGACTTCCGAGGGCCATGTAGAGGTCTGCGGGAAACACTCTTGTGTTCCCCACGACTAGTGGGGTTCGCCATGGTTATCCTATATCTCCTATCCCATTCAACTTTGTTATCGAAATGACTATTAGTGACTCCGTTCTTTCAGACTCTCCGAGAGTAGCATTTCTGCGAGGTGACCGATTGATAAACCTGGAGTATGCGGACGACATAGCTGTTCTTGGGTCTGACGCTATGGCTATGCAGCCACCACTGAACAGGTTTGTTTATAGCGCTACACGTTTCGGCATGTGTTTTGCACCTTCAGAATGCATATTACTGCGGCAGGACTGGACCGACACACTCCGATTCTAGCTATCAGCGAACGGCCACTGGAATTGGTGGATGGGTTCACCTACCTTGGTAGATGTGTTACCTCGGGTGGTCACATCATTGAAGAAGTTGTTTTGCGTAGCAGCAAGGCACGTGTGAGGTTACAGAGTCAGCCATCTATGGAGACGGTGAAATACCAGTCTGTCAGTGTGTGTATAACTCTATATGGATCAGAGACCTGACCCGTTCGCTGCGATGACATTAAACACTTGGCCATTTTTGACCACTGGTGATTACGGAGTACTGCTGACATCTGCTATTGCTCACTTATTTGGTGCGCAGATTTTTAAGCGATGAAAGACGGCTACAAGTTTCCCATGCTCCATATCGGAGACGGATACTGCCCAGCTTGTGTGGGACAAATTTAAGTCCTTTCTCTGTGAGATACCACCTTTATATTCCAATCTCCTTGATTAATAAAGTGAGGCAAAACCGCCATATTTTAGCTCTGAGGCGAACAGGACGCTCAGTAGACGATCCAGATGTTGGAACACTTACGTATCCGCTCCCTCGGAAATTACGTCTCATTGCTACAGAGGGGTGCGAAATGCCTGTAAACAACATTTGCAGGCCGCACGTATGATCTTTGAGGTGGAGTTGGCCCGCTACGCACCAACTAACCCGAAACGGCCTTTCGGTTATGTCAAACGGCGATGCGATGCAAATTCACCTATCCACCTGCTGTTAGGATCCGACGGCCCTGCAGCCTCAACCGACCAGAACATTGCTTATTTACTTACATGACGGTGTGCAAAGTCGTTTGTTCGCGATTCTCAGTTACTGCATTTTTATATAGCAACAAAGATTCTAGTGAACTCTTTCCAGACGGATCTTTCCATCTCTGAAGCTCAGGTGCTCACTGTTATACTCTTCTCACTAGACGCAATTCCAAAATTGACACTTTACTGCTCCACAAAACTTCTAGCCCAACCGAAGGAAAAAGCAGAACGCCAATGGCCTTGACAAAATGATGTATTAATCGCTGTTAACAAACACTGTGCAACTACCGTGGACCCTGGCTCTATTTATAGGTCTCTTACCGACGTTCGACTTCTAGAACTGGAAGGTCGGCTACCAATGTTAGTAGTTCCCCATATCTTTTGCCGAGATGTCAGGTGGTTTTAGTTAAGTGCAGAACTGGAACATTCCGGAACGTTCGAAATCGATGGGATAATCGTTAATAATCGATTACTCGCTAAAATAGTGGATTTGCTGAGCAATTCTTACTTTCTTCCAGACAGTCACGCTGCTGCGTGAACTAAGTCCCACCAAGGCTGCCATGATGGACGTCATCCATCCCAAGCTTTTGTACTAGCTGGCCGATGTGCTGTGCAAACCGATCACATATTTCTGAGAGATCTTTTCGTAGCTTCTCTCTACTTACCGATTGGAGAGAGACTATCGTTTGTCCCGTTTTCAAAAAGTGCGATATATACCTCCCTGAGAATTACAGACCCGTTAGCCTGACAACCACGATGGTTAAGCTATTGGAGAAACTAGTAAGAGGTGTTCTCGAATAGCTCATGATTACGTTCTGTACTCAATCAGTTTCAACAAGGGTTCTGCCTAGATTAGTCTCGTTTGAGTAACTTGTTGATGATCCGAGGATGCTGGGTTGAGCCTGTATATTTGGGATAGGCGGTAAATGTTTTGTTCATTGACTTTTCCAAAGCCTTTGATACCGTTTCACACTGTCGCCTTCTCTTAAGACAAGAATCCCACGGCGTTTCTGACCAAGACTTGAAATGGATTTCGACGTTCCTAAATGGAAGAGTGATAAGCATTCGAGTGGGCTCTGGGCTCTCTTTCCGACAAGTGGTTCTGAGTGGTATTCCTCCGGGGTCGGTTCTCGGTCCTCTATTGTTCGCATTGTATGTCAATGCCCTTTCTGAGGAGCTCAAGGCATCATCCCTTCCGTTGACGGATGATATCGTCTTTTGGAGTGCATTGAGCGATTCGAAAAGACGCTTGGCTTTGCATCTAACTCTTGACAAGCTCTTGGAGTGTTCAGATTTGTGGCAGCTGCCAAAAAATCTTACCAAGTGCTCGGTCCTATGCATAGTGTCAAATACCATTTATCTCATTATCCACTTGGCGGAAATGCAGTACCACAGTAATTCACAGGTATTTCGTTGTCCTTTGGGTCTAAATCTAGCGATAATTGGACAGCGGCTAATCGCAAGGGTTTCTGAATTGTGTGCTTGATCCACACATCGTTTGGGATCATAACAAAAGACATGTTTTACTCAGACAGCCATCACACGCCCGGAAAAGCACTGTACGTGCGTTTCATCCTTTCAGGAATCGTCAGCAGTGCGCATTCCATCGGACCCTGGTAAGGCTCGAACCCACAACTCGACTGTTGCCAGTCCGTACTGATACCACTGAGCTACGGAGGACGGCAACGACCATCGTAAATAAATTGCTAGATGTGATATAGCACCGCTCACTATCCACTGACTTACACGTTACCGCCGTGCAGAGGACAGGTTAACCCCCTCACCAAGCGACGAGCTTACCAACTTATGGCATTATAAGTAGTTTGGTCTGCGTACTGATTACGGAGGAGTAGTAGGGAGAATTAAATGGTATCAGTAGAAATTAGTCACATCTAGACTCACTCAGACAGCCATCACACGCCCCGAGCGTGTGCTAGCTGGGTGGTCCGTGATTGTCCCGTTCGGCAGCTTTGTTCCAAGATGTGGTGGATTTTCGCCTGGCAGGCGATCTCCCTACAAAAGCCACAAATATCTGTTTAACAACACTTATTTGACGGATGTGACTTACCACTAAATAAAGTCACTGTCCTTTGCTTCATTCTGGTGGAGCATCGTAAATCCCGCAAACCGATGCTGAAACTGTGGGAAGAACTGCGCCCCTGTTTAGTAAGTGCTCAAGTGAAAGGGTATGAACTGAGTACTCGGTCACCGGCTCCCATTGGGAGCGGTCCCCTGGTTTCGCATTGCTGCCTTGCGGGTAGGCTACTCAACTAAATGCTCGGGGTGGTGTTCCCTAAGACAACTGCCTACCTCGGCTTGGGCAACCGGTTAGTATTTTACCCGCTGACAGAACCATGGATTTCGCAATTATTACTACTATGTCGTCCTCTTACGCTCCTGAGCTCATGACTGCCTATGCACGTCCACCACCCCCAATCTTATCT